ACGTGTGCAACATATTTTGCACCAACATTTGCATATGGAAAAGCTCTGTGCAAGATGGGTGCCGCGTTTGCTAACAGTCGACCAAAAATTGATTCGAAAAAACATTTCTACCGCAAATTTGTCATTGTATAAGCGTAATCCAAGCGAATTTTTGCGTCGATTCGTAACCGTTGACGAAACGTGGGTCCACCACTACACTCCTGAAACCAAAGAACAGTCTAAACAGTGGATTGGACCAGGGGAACCAACTCCAAAGAAGGCAAAAACAATTTTTTCGGCGAACAAGGTTATGGCTACTGTTTTTTGGGATGCAAGAGGTATTATATACATTGATTACCTTGCAAAGGGTAATACTATCACTGGTCAATACTACGCAGACTTATTGCAACGTTTGAGCCACGAGGTGAAAATTAAACGACCTCATCTGGCGAAGAAAAAAATCTTGTTTCATCACGATAACGCACCAGCGCACACGTCAATCGTTGCGACGGCTAAAATCAACGATCTAAAGTTTGAATTGATGCCGCACCCTCCTTACTCTCCAGACCTAGCCCCGAGTGACTATTTTCTGTTCCCTAATCTCAAAAAATGGCTTGGCGGTAAGAGATTTGCGGACAATGAAGAAGTAATCGAAGCTGTAAATGGTTATTTTGAGGAGCTTGACGAATCAGTCTATAGAGATGGCATTAATAGACTGGAACACCGCTATGAGAAATGTATCAGCCTTGGAGGAGATTATGTTGAGAAATAAAAAAAAAAAATTTTTAAAAACCTTGTTTTTCTTGGTCAGGCCGGAAACTTATCAATCCACCCTCGTATGTCGAAGCTGAGTCCCTTCGCTCTCTGCGATATCACGCATAACCCTTTCCCTCATCTCGTTGTGTTATGTTGCCGCATCAACACATCCTATGCCATCAATTGTATTCCCTTGAAATAAAGGGCAAGGCAAATAATTACCATTTTGATACAATGGCGACTCGTTTGTAAAAGAAATTGTAAATAAGATTTAATTTCGACTCCTACGACATAAAAAGAAAAAATTATGACAAAGAAATGTGTATCTAATGCCTATGTTCGGTGACGAATGTCTTGATGTTGTTATGTACATCTCGCCTAGATTGTTTTTAAGGATGTTTAGGAGGTACAATCGGAGGCAAGAGTACATAAAATTAGAAATTCGTGATTAATTAGGTTTTGCAGCATATCATGAGGTAAATAAATACTATCTACACTAAAAAAAAGTATACGGTTTGAGAGAAAATTTGGAATTTGACTGAAAACTGAATAAAATAAGAAATAACGAATAATATGGAAAATTTTTAACTGACTTTTGGCAGTGAATATGCCTTGATTTCAAC